CAGCCTTCATACGGATCGTTTTCAGACAATTTCGGAAGGCGAGCATGTTTTATTGACGGCATCCGCACTGTTCTGTCTTGGTTGTCTATGGAGCCACTTTGCTAATAGGTTCATTTCTTAATATTTGCAAACACCATTACCGGAATTGGAGGAGGAGGATTGATCACGCTGACGAAGATTAGTAACTCGGATATCATTCCGGCAAGAAGGCGAACATTATACTTAAGACTATTTTTTTCGGATATGTTGGTTTTATTTAGCCTCTTTTGTTGCAAACTTTTTGAAGGTTTTAGTTTGAGATTCTGTTTTCTCATGCAAGTTCCTTTCTCATTGTTAAGTATTGCCGTGTGGTACTTTTTCTGTAAAAAATCAAGCCAATTTCACAAAACCTCACCATTATCGAAATCTTTTGAAAAGTGTTGATATAATAGGAGGATTACTCTGGGTTTCTTGGTTGACAGCGTTGTTAATGGTTTCAACTTTTGCTAGTACAAAAACCATTCAGACATTTGGACTCTTTCTATGTTTATTAGTATTAGGATTAAGTTTTTCTATACCTGTACAAATGCGGTCGATCCCAATGCGGGTCCAATGATTCCATTGAAATTGCTTCGAGGAGTATACAGTACCCTTGTTTTAACAATCAGATTTCTCACTGGATTAGCAGGGTATGCCTATTTATTTACACTACCATTACTTTTTCAACTGGTATTGGGGGATAGCCCTTCCAAAGCCGGACTTCGTCTTGCTTTACCGTCCTTGTCTACACCTATGGGAGGATTGATTTGTGGTATTCTGATGCACCAACGTGTTCGTGTAGGACGCCTAATTTTTTTGGGAGTGCTTCTCATGGCTTTAGGATATGTTCTTAGTTTGTTTATATATCCTGGCATATCACCAATACTACTGGGTCTATTTTTGATTCCAGCCAACGTTGGGCAAGGTATGGGATTTCCAAGTTCTCTATTTTCATTCATTTTTGCGTTTCCTTAAGATTCACATGCTACATCTACATCAACGCTTTATTTGATTAGAAGCATTGGTTCATTGTTTGGCGTAGGGGGGTTGTCAGCGGTCATTCAATCGACTCTTAGGAAAAAAGTATTCACTGACTTGTCAGAATTCACTGATTTCAATGAAAACCAGATTCGGGAGATTATTCATAAAGTTACCAAATCCATGTCTTCTTTATATTATTTACCAGAGGCTATTCAGAAGATTGTATTAGGTGATTAAACTTTTGCCATTCGAAAAGCACAACAATTTACAATGATTTGCTGCATCATTGCCCTTGTTTTATTGTATTTTGTAAGGACGTAATAAAACCAAAGATGCATTCTGGATTTCACGATTAGATTTTGCGGACAGTCTTTCACGTCGACCAGCAACGATAAAAAA